ATACACGCAGGCAGGGTCGGCGGATTTCGATTCGGGAGCATCTTGGCAGCTTAAATGAGCAGTTTGGGGGCTCGCATGGCTGTTGGGCTTTCTTGGAGCCCAGGACCCTCTTGGCGGCCTTGGGGGCCCTCTTGGGGCTATCCCGAAGGCCTTCGATCAAAGAAGGTGGGAAAGAGCGCGCCCGCAGCACCGGGAATAAGGAAAGGGGGCCGCAGCTTCAAGCTACCCCCCCCTCCCTCCCAAAAGGGGGGGGGGGAGCTTCCGAAGCTACCCCACCCCCTTCCCTTCTGTAAGGGTTTCTAAGCTAGAGGGGTCCTGGCTAAAGGGGGGGGGCTTCGAAGCTATCCCCCCCTCCCTTTTTTTTCCGGAGCAAAAGGTGAGCCCGGGCTTCCCTTTCAAAGGGGGGGGGCTTCGGAAACTACCCCCCCCTCCTTTTTTGGTCTGGGCGCAGGGGGGGGCGGCTTCAAGCTACCCCCCTCCACCCTGCTTTGCAAAGGGGGGGGGGCTTCCGAGGCTACCCTCCCTCCTCTCTTCTGGGTTTATGGCAAAATAGCTGAATCCCTGCAGACAGGTGCGCACCGCAGCGCTAGAGAACGCATTGGAGGATGACGTCGACCCTCGGTTCGTTTTCTCGTTTTCTTGTTTTCTCGGCCCCTGGTTCGTAGTCTCGTTTTCTCGGGCCCTGATTGTTTTTTATTGTTCTCTCGTTTTCTCGGCCGCTGGGTCTTGGTCTCGTTTTCTCTGACCCTGGTTCGTTGTCGCGTTTTCTGATGTTTTCTGTGCCCTTGGGTCGTTTTCCCGTTTGTTCGAGCTTTGGTTCGTTTTCTCGTTTTCTCGTGCTCTCGGCCCTTGGGTCGTGGGCTGGTTTTTTGTGCCGTTTTCTCGGGCCCTGGTTTGTGATCTCGTTTTCTTGTTTTCTCTGCCCCTGGGTCGTGGTCTGATTTTTCCTCGGACCCTGGTAAGTGTTCTCGTTTTCCCGTGTTCTCGGCCCTTGGGTCGTGGTCTCGTTTTCTCTGACCTTGGTTAGTTTTTTGTTTTCTTGGCCCCTGGATCGTGGTTTCTTTTTCCCAGACCCTGATTCCTTGTCTCGTGTTCTCCGTTTTTGTTGCCCCTGGATTGTGGTTATGGTTTCCCTGACCTTGGTTCGTATTCTCGTTTTCTCGTTTTCTCGGACCCTGGGTCGTGGTCTCGTTTTCTCGGATGCTGGTTTGTTTTCTCGTCCTCCCGTTTTCTCGGCCCCTGGGTCGTAGTCTCGTGTTCTCGGACCCTGATTTTATATATATATATATATATATATATATATATCGTGTTCTCGTTTTCTCGGCTCTTGGGTCGTGGTATCGGTTTCTCTGTCTCGGACACTGGGTCGTTGTGTTTTTTGCTAGTTTTCTCGTCCCTAGGGTCGTGGTCTCGTTTTCTCGGACCCTGGTTCGTTTTTTCGTTGTCTTATTTTCTTTGCCCCTGGGTCGTGGTCTCGTTTTCTCGGACCCTGGTTTGTTTTCTCGTTTTCTAGTTTTCTCTGCCCCTTGGTCGTGGTCTCGTTTTCTCGGGCCCCGTTTCGTTTTCTCGTTTCTCGGCCCCTGGGTCGTGGTCTCGTTTTCTCGGACCCTGGTTCATTGTCTCGTTTTCTCTGCTTCTGGGACCCTGGGTCGTGGTCTCGTTTTCTCAGGGGTCGGTTTGTTGTCTTGGTTTCTCAGCCCCTGGGTCGTAGTCTCGTTGTCTCGGACCCTACTTCGTTTTCTAGTTTTCTCTGCCCCTGGGTCGTGGTCTCGTTTTCTTTGACCTTGGTTCGTGTTCTCGTGTCTTGTTTTCTCGGCCCTTGGTTCGTTATCTCGTTTTGTCGGAACCTGGTTCGTTGTTTCGTTTTCTCGGCTTCTGGGCCCCTGGGTCGTGGTCTCGTTGTCTCAGGGGTCGGTTTGTTTTCTCGTTTTCTTGTTTTCTCAGCCCCTGGGTCGTAGTCTCGTTGTCTCGGACGCTGGTTCGTTTTCTCGGTTTCTCCTCCCCATGGGTCGTGTCTCGTTTTCTCGGGCCGATGTTCGCGTTTTCTCGGCCTGGATCGTGGTCTCGTTTGCTCGCACCTTTTTTTGTTTTCTCGTGTTTTCGGCCCCTGGGTCGTTACCCGTTTTCTCGGACCCTGGTTCATTGTCTCGTTTTCTCGGTTGTAGGTTTTTTGTGCCGTTTTCTCGGGCCCTGGTTCGTTTTCTCGTTTTCTCGGCTCTTGGGTCGTGTTCTCGCGTTCTCGGGCCCTGGTTTGTTTCCTCGTTGTCTCGTTTTCTCGGCCCCTGAGTCGTGGTCTCGTTTTCTCGGGCACTGGTTCGTGGTCTCGTTTTTTTCGGACCCTGGTTCGTTTTCGCGTTGTCTCTGCCACTGGGTCGTGGTCTCGTTTTCTCGGACCCTAGTTAGTTTTTTCGGACCCTGGTTCGTTTTATCGTTTCTCTGCCCCTGGGCCGTGGTCTCGTTTTCTCGGACCCTGCTTCGTTTTCTCGGTTTCTCAGCCCCTGGGTCGTGGTCTCGTTTTCTCTGACCGTGGGTCGTCGTCGTCGGTCGTGCGTCGTCCGTCGCCGTCTTCGTATGACCTCGTCCTCGTCGTGACGACCACGACGAGGTCATATGAAGAAGGCGACAATGACGGCGACGGCGGCGATAACGACGGCGAGGACGACGACGGCGTCGTGCGAAGACGTCGAGCGACGGCGACGGCAACGACGACGGCGTCGGTGGAGGATCGTCCAGCAGGGGGCAAAGGAGGGGGGTGGTAGCTAATCCGCTCCTTTCCTTTTGGAAAGGGGGGGAGGGGAGGGGAACTTCCGGCAGGGTGGAGAAAACTGGAGGGAAGGGGGGGGGCTTCCGGCAGAGGGGGGTCAAAGGAGGGGGGGGTAGCTAAGCTTCCCTCCCCTTTCGTAAGGGGGGGAGAGGTGGGGGGGCTTCCCGGGTGCCGAAAGGGAGGGAGGGGGGGGGGGCTTCTAAGTTCCTCCCCCTTTCGAACCAAAGGGTGGAAGGGGAGGTTGCTTCCGGCAGAGGGGGGTCAAGGGGGTACGGGGGGTAGCTAAGCCCCCCCTCCCTTTTGAAAGGGGGGGAGGGGGGGATAGCTTCGGAGTGGCGAAAGGGGGGGAGGGGGGGTAGCTTCAGGGAGGAGGCGAAAACGGAGGGGGGAGGGGAGGGGAGAGCTTCCAGCAGGGGAGGTGGAAGGGATGGAGGGGGGTAGCTAAGGGGGCCCCCCCCTTTGCTCCGGCGCTGTGGGCGCGCTCTCTCGAAGGTGGGGTCTTAATTATTGCCCCCCCGTCGGAGGCAGAACAGTGATCTACTGGGCCCTCTTGCGGAGCTCTTGGGGCCGTCTTGGAGCCATTAGGGGCACGTGTCGGGGCCTTGTTGGTCCAGTTTGGAGCCCTCTAGAGGTCTCAAAAGAGGGTCGGACGCAAAAACACAAGAATTCACACATCAGTGAGTTCGCAGAAAAGTGTTGGAACCTATTTGGCCTATCGGGGGCGTCTTGGGGGGCTTCATGGTTGCGTGAAGACATGTTGGCGCGATCGTTGGGCCTCGGCGGCATGTTAATTGCTATCTTAAGCCACCTTGGAGGCACGTTTAAGCTATATTGTGCCATCTTTGGGCCGTCTTGGCTCATCAGCCTCCCAAGGATGTCCCAAAGATGTCAACATCTGTCAGAAACCAGAGATGTTTCATTGGTTTTAGCTTTGAGCGAAGGGTGGGGGACTCAAAGTCAGCCCCCCCCCCTCGTCAGGGCCTGACAAATCGCTTCTTGAGGCTCTCGTGGGACGCTCTTGGGAGCGTCTTGGAGCCCTCTTTGGCCCCTCTTGTTCTCTTGGGCTCCTCAAGGGCCAATCGGAAGCGAGAGTACGAGAACGCACACCCCATTCGTTTAGTCAGTTATTGTTTCTGAGTTTGGCCCCTCGGTGGCGTCCTTGGGAGGCTCTGTGGCCACTTGGAGCCGTCTTGGGGCGGTCTTGCGGCCTCTGGGGAGCACGTTGGAGGCCACGACATTGGCCTGCTTGTGCGATCTTGGTGTGTGTGTGTTTGGCTATCTGGGGCCATCCTTGACGCTGCGACCGCTTGTAGGGGGTAGGGGTCCAGACTCCGGGGAGGGCCCCCTCCCCGAAGGGGAAGAAGGGGGTTGTAAGAACGAACTCGCCAATCCACCTACGCCGCACCCCAAACGGCTCATGGGACTTCGCTCGAGTATGTCTGCATGTGCGCAATCTGCATTGATTGGTTTCGAAGGCCGAGCACAAGAAACAGATGGAGGCGGTGCGCAAGGATCGTGCCAGGGGGGTGCTAGTATGTTGCACCGTGCTGACAGTGCTTATTTCCACAGCAGGTCCGTGCCGTCCCCAAGCAAGGCGGCCTCACACATCATTGCAATTTGGGAGACTGCCTCCGATACCACAACGATGGTTTTCACGTCATGACTCTCGCGATGTATCCAGAGGTGCCGTCGTTGTGCGAGGGGGGGACCACTCCCGTGGATCTGCGCTGTCGGGGGAGGGGGTGCGCATTCGCCGCGCGTTCGGGGCCAGCCCCGCTCGCTGCTGCCGCCTTTCCTGTCTGTCTGCTCCTGCTCGGCGGGTGCCTCCTCGCGGGCTCGGACGGTCTGCCGACTCGTTTGGAGCCTCTCGGAGCGCAGCAGGCACCGGGGTCGCCTCGCAATACCTGGGGGCGGAGGCACGTCGTGTGATAGATGGTTTGCTTTCGCCAAGCCGGCCCCGATGCGTGTACGGTAGGTTCGTGCGGCGTTGGCGCGCAGGCGACGCCAGCGAAGGCGTTCAAGGTTGAATTCTACGACGCGGAAGCACCGATGTACACGTCAACGCCACTGGACCCGACGGAATTCAACCTTGAACGATCAGGGTCGCGATCGATTCAAGGTTAGACGATCGACACAGTGTCAAAAACCTTTGCGCGCGCCGACGCCGCACGAACCCACCGTAGCCTTGTTGTATGCATGTGGTACTACGTACTCGAACCTCTTGAAGCCAACCATCTGGTGATTATATTTGAAGCATGTGCAAGTAGCAAAGGCGTGGAGATGGGACAAGCCCCAGTGCTCTGCTGCCCTCTGAGGGCACGAGTGCTTGCTGTGTTCCCGCACCAAGCAGTTCTAACGCGCCGTTGGCCCGATGACCAGCAAGTTTAGCAGTTCTTCTTCATGCCACTCACGCATTTCCGTCACCACCAGCGTGGACATGTATCCGGCAGGCGACAGCAGGCAAAGCAGGACGAGGACGGGACATGGGAGGAGAAGATGCAGGTCTGTAACACATTTCGAACCCTGACCCTACGGGTTCGATCGACGGTGCGGTATCAGAAACCCCTGTCGGGGTTCACATGGCTGCATACAGTCTTCAACATCTGAGTCCTGGCCAGTTTCTCAGAAGTCTGACCGCAGGGATGGGGCTCGCATGTGGTTGCCTGGGAGGGGGCCGAGGAGGAGCTTCGCCGTGGGGAGACCCCCGCGTCGGCACCAGGGCTCGAGCCAAACGAAACCGACAGGCACTGTTCAGCTCGAGGCCTGGTCGGCACCCCTCGCGCACGGATCTCGCGGGCGCCTCGCGGGAGGCTTCGCAGGGCACCCCCGCGCGCGAGGCGTGGGGGGTCACCCCCTGCGGGCGAGACCTCGCACGCAGGGCGGATCTGGGCGTTGTGACCATGGATTGCAGGAGTCGGGAGGAGTGCCGAGGAGTGCGATGGAGTTGATCGGGGAGCCTCGGGGAGTGGGGAAGGGTCGCGAGGAGCGGGGAGGAGTGGGGTAGAGTGCTGAGGAGTGCGATGGAGTGGGGAATGAGTCCCGAGGACTGGGGAGGAGCGCCGAAGCAGGAGGCGGAGGGAGTAGTCTGGAGGGTTGCCGAGGAATGCGACGGGGTGCGGAGGAACGGAGCGGAGTGTTGAGCAGCGTGATGGAGTAGGGGAGAGAACACAATCTGGCGGAGGGTCGGGGCAAGCAGGGAGGAGCGTGGGGTAACTTCCTTCGGAGCACTGCGGCCCTGGCGACCGCGGCATGCATTGCTGGCGGGACAGGGGTCTGAGGGACCGCTTTGGATACTAGGGCGACGAGATCTATGCATATCCACAGGAGCGGTGTATATGCCTCCCTGGCCAAGCCAGGAGGGCGTATACACAGCTCTTGGGCCCAGGATTGGCCTGGCCGGGAGCAGTGGATATGTATAGATCTCGTCGCCCTAGATACTTTGGGCCTGATCGCTGCGGTGCGTTGAGCTTGCGAGTGAGTCTTTCATAAATCTGACAAGCCTGGCCTTTCGGGTGTGGAAATCGTCGATCGTCGTTGTCGTCGTCGTGGCCATCACTATCGTCGTCTTCGCCGTTGTCGCCGTCGCCGTCGCTGTCGTCCGCCGTCGTTCGTCGGTGATCGTCGTCATCGTGGTCACCGTCGCCGCCGCCAGCGTCGTCGGTCGTCGTCGTCATCGTCGTCGTCGTCGTCGTCGTCGTCGTCGTCGGTCGTCGTCGTCCCTATCGCCCAAAGCTCCCCTCCAGCTTCCCAGCATCGTTGGGCCTTTCCATGCCCTGGAAACACACCTCCAGGAGAGCACGCGACTGGAACGCTCGCCCGTCTGCTGTTGCGTGCGAGAGGCTCCCTTGGTTGCGTTCGATGCAAATGTTGAAACACCTTATGTTGTTCAATAATCCGCAAGAGCGCCCGCGTATAGTTCTTAAACGTCATGAGGCAAAACAAATGTGTTGCATTGGTTCGGGAACCTCGATCTTGATACCCCTCCGAAACCTAAGGTTTTTGACGGATTCTGGCATGCGGGCGCGACGACGCGCGCGTGTGGGTTTTGTCATGCGTATGTTTTTGAAAGGGGCTTGTGCACAGTTGTTTATATGAACGAGTGCGCGCGTAGTATTATGCGACTAGGATGGAGAGGGGGGCGATATCGGTTTGGCTGGGATAACCTGACTTCATATTCAAAAATGAACGATGGGGCAGCACCGTACGTAATTTGCATATTTCCTGGGGGACGGATAAGTCTGGGGGGAAGGTGGCAGATCAGACATCTTTTTGGGGGGAACGGGGGATCTACGTGGTGCAATCTAGGCGGCGACGGGGCGGCGACGGCGAGCACGGAGCCGCCAGACCGCCAGCCAGGCCCAGACGACGGGCGGCGACGAGGCGGCGACGGGGCGGCGGCTGCGAGCACGGAGCCGCCAGACCGCCAGCCAGGTCAGTTCCGTAAAATACAGTGGAGGCGAGTCCGCAAGAGACCTCCCACAAGAGGCCCAGCCCTGAGACCCCAGGACGTCCATTGATTTTTGGTGTTGGAACGTCACGCTTCCCATCGCAAAACCATCGGAACCCAAGAAATCCAGGTCACCCTGGAGGCATGCAGGGTGTTTCTTATCATGGGCCCCAACTGTAGAGATCACATTCCCTGGAGTGCAAGCGTTGTTTGGGGAATCTTCTGGCGCGTCACCGTCGTTACCTGGCCCAACCCCCTCCTGCCCCTCACCCGGTAGCGCTGACGATCGTACGTAGTGGGAGAGGCTTGGCCCCACATCCCCGTACAAACGTGTCCCACCCCGCCCACGCGTTACCACCGTTACCCAGGCTCCAACCCCCTTCCCCTCCCCTGGTAACGACCGTTGCCCTGAGACCATAAAACCAAGCAACCACCTCGTGAGTTTTGGGCTCGCCCCGCGGATTTTTTGATCCTCCTTGGCGCTCCTTGCAAAGGCGCCCAAGGCCCTCGATCCTCGATCAATGTTTGGGGGCGACGCCTCGACCCCCGATCGCCCACGCATCGCCGAGAGGGGCCCGGCAGCACACCCCGCTCAGGAACGCCCAGATCCGCGATCGGGAGCCTTTCGGCAATGCACCGCCGATTTCAGCTGGACTTGTTCCCCCTCCCCTGCGCCAACCCCCCCGAACGTTGCCCCACAGATGGCCGTGGGCAGCACCTGGCGCCCGCCACAGCCAGCAACCAGAGCAAGGATGCGTTGCCTTCTCCTTGCTGCCCCTGCACCTCTGCTGCCTCGGCCCAGTCGGCCGATGTCGATGTTCCAGGAGCTCTAAATGGCCAAAGGGACTTCCAAGGGTCTGGCATCCCCACCTTGCACCAGCACCATGGATTCTCAAGCGGCTTGCCCCATTCCGCCGACCCCCAGAGGAGAAACGGAGTCCGCGGTGGAGGTCTTCTGTCTTCGGGTAACCGTATGAGGGGCCTTTTGGGGTATATCTCATGGCCTTCGGCCCATCCCGCCACTGTTGCCTGGGCTGAGGGTAGGAAGCTTATGGGATGTTCGTAGGCATCTCTGGGGAGGAACCGTTTGAGGGGCCTGTTGGGGTATATGTTGGGCCTCTTGAAGCTTCTTGAGCGACTGGGGCCTGTTGGGGTAAATCTTGGGCCTCTTGGTCTTGAGCGTCTGTTGGGCGCCTGCTGGCTGTCTCGGGGGTCCTCTTGGGGCGCAGGGCTCGACATGGAAGTTCGGGTTCCCCCTCGTGGGCCCCTCTTTGAGGCCCCTCTTGAGGCCTTCTTGGGGCCGCGCCTTGCACCCTTCCTTTGAACTTTGGTTGTACCCCCCCGCAGGAGGACGGCAAGGCGGAGCTGGACGCTGACTGGAGCAGCTCGCACGACGGCCGCGCACCCCGCCGCGCCCGCGAGCCGCCGCGGCGCTTTGGCCGACGACCGACCTGCGCAGAGCCGCGCGGTGGCGCGCCGCTGCTCGGGTGGCGCCGCCTTGGCTCGGGCTGGGGCTCTGCGAGATGGCCCGGGCCCGGGCGCGCCGAGGGGTGCTCGGGTGCCTGCCTCGCCGGATGGTGCCGTGAGCAGAGGTTGGCCGGGCATCTGATTCCCGACGTGTTTTCTCTGGACGTGGCTGGACAGCTATTTCCCCCCCGTGGAGGGCGGGACGCTCAGCAAAAAAAGATGGTCTGAGGTGGCCCTGCGCTGGTTCCGGCCAGCAGGAAGTTCAGGGGCGCCCTCACCGACCCCTAGCAAACCATCGCCTTCCGTGACGTCCCCCTCACCTAACCCCAAGACGTACGTATGCGGCCGGAGGGGGGCTTGGAGGAGGGAGAGGAAGGGGCTATCTCGAGCGGCAGCCGCACTCCTGAGCTTAAATTGTGATGAATGCCCTATGCATGTTTAAAACGCGGTAGGCCAAGGAGGACGTGCATCCGGTATGACTATCTTCGGCCGTACATCCGGTAGGACGCGTTGGCAAACGCAGGTTGCGACGTTGGCAGCCGAGCGGGAAGCATGAATTGCAAGTTTTCAGGTTGTGTTGCCCCGGCCAATTGCGGAAGCTGAATTTTCAGAAAATGGTTCATTTTGTAGCTCGCTCGAATCCGTGGCTCACGAAGTCGGGGACGGTTTGAGCTCTTCACGACTTGAGTGCTGTTACAGCGTCTTCCTCACTCTTATTTATCGCCGTCTTTCTCATTCCACAGCTCGGTTTGCATCATGAGCTCTGCAAAGAAGCATTCACTGGCTATGTTGCTCAGGTTCCCTTTTGCTAGATCGCGCATGCGGTGCACTCGCGCTCTTTTTGTGTGTCACCAGCAGCGCGCACTGCATGATTGCTTGCGTCGCAAAGCCAGCCTGTTAACCCCGCTCGCCACGCAGAGTTGCGAGAGGCGCGGGCATGAGGCCTCACACAAGAAGGTCGCCCGCGCTTAGTGTCCTACACTGAATCACCACCCACCAAACCACCCCAACCCAACCCGAAGGCCCCAATGTGCCCTCCATTCCCAGTGTGGGGGGGGGGGGGGTCGAAGAACACTGAGACGACGCATGTGGAACACGTACCACCCCCCAACCCGAAATGTGGGTCCTCGGGTTAGGTTCGGGGTGTTTCCGGGTGGGTAGTCCAACAAGACGCTGGAATTATTGACCACACCCTTGGCTCGGGAAGGGGCCGACTTTCGGGCCGTTCCTTGTAGATCCAGGCCGGGGAACACCTGCGCGTGGCCGTGGCTGGGCGTGGCCAGCAGAGCCCCACTGGTTCCCTGTTCAGCGCTGCGCGCTGGTCGTTGAATTATCTAAAGGCTGCCGCCTCTGCCGCCGACCCCAATTGAGCGACGTATGTTTGATTCGTTTGTTGTCGGGGTGCCTTTCCGAGTACGGCAGGAAGGGTTCAGGTGAGACATCCAGGCCTGAGCCTCGCCCCCTGGGCTCATGATTCTCTGTTGCACCTCGGACCCCTCTCTATCTAATGGCCTTCCCGCCACTGCGCCTAGGTTGTAGGCATGAAGCCTATTGGCTGTTCGTTGGGATTTCGTGATGGACCTTTTTTGAAGCCTCTTGGGAGCAGTTTTGCGGCCTCTTGGATGCAGGTTTGAGACCTCTTCGGGGAAGTTTTGGAGCCTCTTGGGGTCGCTGTTGGGTCCTTTGGGGGCCTCTTGGAGCCTCTTGGGGCATCTTGGATGCCTATTGGGGCTTTTGGGGCCATTTTGGAGGCCTCCTGGGCAGTCCTGGGGTGGCTTTGGGGACCTCGGGCCGTGTGGCAGCGTCGGAAAGGAAACAGGCGAGAACGCCAACATTTTTCAAACAACGAAGGCAAGTCAATGATTTTGCCTCTCAGGGTCCTCTTGGGAGGCGTCTTCGAGGCCTCTTGGGCCATCTTGGAGGCCTTTTGGACCATCGTGAGGCCATGTAGGGCGTCTTGGGGTGATCTTTGGGCGTCTCGGGGCGTTCTGGGACCGTCGTGGGCCTCTTTGGGCCCTGTTGGCCCGTTTTGGGGCCCCCATTGCTCCGAAACAGTCACACGAGAAACCGCGAGAAGCTCCAGGATAAGATTTCGCGATGTGGGGTCTGGGTCTCTGAACGACTCCTCAGGAATGAGGACTGAGGTTGAGAGGATGGTGGCAAGGACCTGAGGGCACGCCCACTCCGTGCCCAGAGGCACGGTGGCGGATCTACATAACCATGAGAATATGATGATCGTGGTTCCGGCGGATCGCATCGCATTTCCGAGCTCCAATGGGGGAGCCCCTTGGGGGTATTTCAATTTGTTTTTGGTGGGAATCGTGGGGGGTGGCAGTGACTCGGGTTAGCGGTCGGTGGATTGGGCGAGGTGGCAAATATGATCCAGGAGCAGCGATGACCCCACCCCCGAAGGGGAAAAATGGAGTTGGACAAGGATTCGCGATTGACCATCTCCTGCCCAGGAGGCAGGGGGGGATTTGAGCTAGGAGACCCCATGCGAGAAGTTGTCCAGGTCGGTTTCGCCGAAGCCATCATCGTTATTTCGGGCCGTGAGATGCCGCCTGTGAGGCGGTCCGGTCGGTCTCGCCTGAGACATCCTTGCAAGCGTGGGCTTGGAGATGCCGCGCGAGAGATAGTCCAGCCCATTTCGCTTAGACATCCTCGCCGCTGTCCTGGGGCGGTCCAGCCCTTTCGGCCCGAGACATCCTCGCAGTTGTGGGCTTCGAGGCACGCGAGAGGGCCATCCGGCCTTCCCCCCCGCGTACTCGCAGCTCGGGGCCCTTGGATGCCCTGACCTGAGCTGGTCCAGCCAGTTTCGCTTCACACTTCGTCACAAATCTGGGCTCGGATATGACCTGACCCGAGGCCGTCCAGCCATCTTCGCCCGATGCATCCTCGGTATTCTGGCTTGGTCGATGCTCTTGCCTCACGGTATCCGATACCGTTTCCTCTTAGTTCTGGGTTTGCAGTTGCCGTGGGTTGATCGTTTCGCTTGAGATCTCCTTGCGACTCTGGATTCATGTACTTATGCCCTCATTTCACGTGGTCCCGGTGCATTCCGCCTGGGACATATTCGGGATTGTGTTTTCCAGGATGCCCACACCTGAGGTGGTTCAACCACTTTCGCCCGAGATCTCTCCTTTCTGGGCTCAGAAATGTCCTGTCAATGCTGTCGCCGATGACCCACTCGACAATTTGTGTCACTTGTCAGATGAACACTCGGGGAGACTGGAACCCTCCTTGTTTCCAGACTCGGGGAGACTGGAACCCTCCTTGTTGCCGGCGGCAGATATGTCAATCGGGGCCACTTGTCAAACGGGCGAGGGCCCCTGCAGCCCCGCCCGCTGGATCGCACGACCGCGCAGGCGCGGGCGCGCGTGGAGACGCGCGTACTCAGGCTCATCCAAGTCGTACTAGCATTACCTGACTGTCTGTAGTTCCACTTGCGCCATGATTATCACAACAACTATGACTACGACTACGACTATTACTACGACTACTACTTCTTACTCTACTACTACTACTACTACTACTACTACTACTACTACTACTACTACTACTACTACTACTACTACTACTACTACTACTACTACTACTACTACTACTACTACTACTACTACTACTACTACTACTACTACTACTACTACTACTACTACTACTACTACTACTACTACTACTACTACTACTACTACTACTACTACTACTACTACTACTACTACTACTACTACTACTACTACTACTACTACTACTACTACTTCTACTTCTACTACTACTCTTACCACTACGACTACTACTTGTACTTTTACGACAAGTAATGTTACTTTTACTACTGTTCCTACCTCTACTAGTATGCCTACTATTACGACTACTGCTAGCGTTGCTGTGCTTATTTACCTAATATTTCTACGACTGCTGCTACCACAACTACTACCACTATCACTACTACTGCCACTACCACTACTACGACTACGACTACGACTACTACTACTACTACTACTACTACTGATACACTGCTACTACTACTACTACTCCTACTACTACTACTACTACTACTACTACTACTACTGACTACTACTACTACTACTACTACTACTACTACTACTACTACTACTACTACTACTAACACGACGACTACTACTACGACAACGACTACGACTACACCTACTACTACTACTACTACTACTACTACTACTACTACTACTACTACTACCACTACCACTACTACTACTACTACTACTACTACTACTACTACTACTACTACTACTACTACTAGTAGTACTACTACAACTATTACCACTACTACTGCTGCTGCTGCTACTCCTACTATTACTGCCACCACTACTACTACTACTACTACTACTACCACTACTACTACTACTACTACTACTACTACTACTACTACTATTACTACGACTACTTCTACTACTTTTTCTTCTACTACTACTACTGCTTTTAGCACTACTACTACTACCACCACCACTACCACTACCACTACCACTACCACTACCACTACCACTACTACTACTTATCCTACTACTTCTACTACTATTACTTTTACTTTTACGTTTACTACTACTACTACTACTACTACTACCACTACCACTACCACTACCACTACCACTACCACTCCTCCCACTACTACTACTACTACTACTACTACTACTACTACTACTACTACTACTACGACTACGACTACTACGACTACTGCTACTGCTACTGCTACTGCTACTGCTACTACTACTACTACTCCTACTACTGCTACTACTACTGCTACTGCTACTGCTACTACTGCTATTGCTGCTACTGCTACTGCTACTGCGACTGCTACTGCTACTGCTACTACTACTGCTACTACGACTACTGCTACTACTACTACTACTACTGCTACTACTACTACTACTACTACTACTACTACTACTACTACTACTACTACTACTACTACTACCTACTACTACTACTACTACTACTACTACTACTACTACTACTACTACTACTACTACTACTACTACTACTACTACTACTACTACTACTACTACTACTACTACTACTACTACTACTACTACTACTACTACTACTACTACTACTACTACTACTACTACTACTACTACTACTACTACTACTACTACTACTACTACTACTACTACTACTACTACTACTACTACTACTACTACTACTACTACTACTACTACTACTACTACTACTACTACTACTACTACTACTACTACTACTACTACGACTACTGCTACTACTACTTCTACTACTACTTCTACCACTACCACTACTACCACTCCTACTTCTATTTCTAGCGTTTCCATCATCCTGGAAGGCCATCCCACCCCCTTCTTCCTGCCCGCCGCCCTCCCTCTCGAAGCCATCCCGGCTCCCTTCCTCCCTGCCCTCCGTTCTTTCTCTCGCCCGTCTTGTTCCCCGTCGTCGTCCCTCTCGCCGCTCGGTGCCGCCCCCCTGGGCCCCACGTTGACCTCTCCTCGTTCGCCCCCCAAGGGGCGGCAGGCGCTGCGGGGGGCTCGCCCTGCCCTCCCCCCCCCCAAAGTGGATGGTTTGGGCTTGGGTGCTTTTGTCCGCCGGGACAGGGCGGGATACAAATATTGCCACCTCTGTTCTTGAGCCTTAGGCTCCGCATTTGTGGCCCCCCCAAGAGGGGAGGGCCCATGCCAGACGGCGCTGCGGGGCTTGGCGCTTCTCCAGGGGCAACGAGAGGGGGGGTAGGCATGCGTCGGGGGGGGGACGCATCGACTTTCCATCGTTCATTCATATCCGATCGGGGCCCGATCGCCCACGCCCGCCCCAGAAACGTGCGGATTCACTATCTCGGGTGCCCATGGCCGATCTATCGGCGACATGTCGCCGATTCCAAATCGATGTTTCCCCCCCTGTGCCGGCCCCCCCTTCTCGCTGCCCTTCGCTTCTCCCCGGGCAGCGGAGGTCTCCGGAGCCCTCCCGCCCGGGATTCCCGGGGGTTTTCCTGCTCTGTGGGCTCGAACAGGTCCCGCGGCCTGCCCTCTGCCCCTGGCATCGCTCGGACGTGTGCGCTTTCCTTGGCGAGGGCCATCGAAGACCCTTTTGGTCATCTGGTAAAGATATATACACGCACATGCACGGGGAATGGACGTCCGAGCGATGACGAGGCCACGTTTCCACCCAGAGTTGCTGTCACGCTTGTGCCTGTGCCGCCGTCTTCCCCGTGGCGCACAGCTCCCCGTTGCCGGGCGTCCATGGTTGCGTGTTCGCCGGGCCCCATGCTGAGGCGCAGCTCGTAAACTGTGAGCCGTGGGCTGACGTCTTCTCCTTCGCACAGGACTCGGCCTAAACTGTGTCTTGGCGATTTAGTGGATCGTTTTCGTTTCGACTCCGTTTTGCATCGACAAAACTGGGGAAAACAAGCATTTCAAAGAAAACGAGAGACACCGTTTTGGTCGAGCCCTTCCCTGGCAGGCTTCAAGCACCAGAGTTTCGATCACGTCATCCAGGGTCACGACTTCACCTTCGTCAACTTCTTCGCTGGCTGGTGCGGCCACTGCCAGAAGGCGGGGCCGCGGCGGCGGCGGCCTCCTGGAGAAATTGGGCTCGGCGTCCGCCTGGTGGTGGCTTGTCTCTTGCCAGCTACACGTAAGAGCGACCCCTGACCTAGTGACATTCGGGCCTTCGGTGCGCGGTCGTGGGGGGCTTGGGGGGCCAAGCCCATCCACGCAGGCCGTTGCTTCATCACCGCTTGCAGCGCAGGGTCACTCGCGTGTAGCCGGTTTTGCTCTCTGGGCTCTTGCTTGAGGGTGTCCGCGAGGGAGGGGGCCAGGGGCAACAATGGGGGGGGAACAGGTCCAGAGGGGGACGCATCGACCCCCAACATCCCACTCAGCGGCGATGAGGGGCCTGGTAGCTCACCCCACCCAAGAACGCGCGAATTCGCAGCCGGTGGCCTGTCGCCGATTTATCGCTAATGTATCGCCGATTCCAGCTCGACGTTTCGCCCTCCGAGCTGGTCCCCCCCCCCTTCCACTGCCCCTCAGAAAGGGGAGGCAGCGCGAGGGCGGCGGCTTGCCATGAGGCCCGACCTCTGCCATCTTGACGTGCTTCTCCCTTTCTTGGGGGGGCTTCCTGGCGAGCTCCCGCGGCCATGGCTGGACGCGGCTCGACGAGCTGGCCAGGACAGACCCCTGGCAGGAGCGCGCGCATGCGCGTGCCGTGCGTGCGCAGCACATGCGGGTGACCGGGCCCGGGGGCCTCGGGGCCGCGGGGCCATGACCACAGACGCGAGGCTGGGTGCGCCGGGGCCCGTTCTTGGGAGGCCCCGCTTCGCCTCCCAGGGGGATCTGACAGCCGTCCGCATGTGTTGCGAAAGTATCCGCCGTATTTCCTGGCCTGCCATGGGTCGCAGACGGCTCAAGAGTGCCTTCGGACGCTTCAAGAGACGCTCGGGACAGCCCCAGGTGGTCCCAGTACACCCTCCAGGCCATATTTGAGACGCCAAGAACCGACATGAACCGAAGGGACATCTACGATTTTTGCTTTTTCGCCTTTTCGCCTGCGATGGGTTGCTGAGGTCTCAAGATTATTATTTTCGGAGGCTACCAGGAGTCCCCAAGACGCTCCCAAAAAGCTTCCCAGAGGCTCCCTCGAAGCCCCAGGAAGCCCGCAAGAAGCCCCCAGGAGGCTTCCACTCAGATGCCCTTCAAGAGCCCCCGACTGGAAAAGGCCCCCGCGAGCCGACGGAAGCTCGAGGAGGCGATACACCAACATCTTTCAAGCATGGGGCCTCCTCTGGCTTGCTGCAGACGCTCTGAGAGCCCTCCATGGCGCTTTCGTGTCGTCGTGAAGGCCTCTTCGCCCATGTTGGCGGCCTTGGTGGCCTGCCAGGGTCCGTCTTGCACCCGTCGTGGATACCTTGGACGCCTTGGAGAGCGCGAGTGAGGCGTCGGGAAGCCCGGGGAGCCTCGGGAGGAAGGGGAGGGGTGCACACGACCAGACGCGGGAAGGGGGGGTTAGAGGATTACAGAAGCCTCACCAGGCAGCACTTCACATTTTGACACGCCCATAGCGCGAAGGTCTAGACGGCCCTGAGAGAGCACAAGGGGCACCCAAGAGGCTCCAAGAGGGCCCAAGAGATTCCTTAGAAGCGGCGCCGACAGACAAATATAGAGGATTTCTTGCGGCTTTCGGTTGATTTCAGTGATGTCGCTCTTCTTGGCGTCCGACGCTCAAGTCGTCCCACACGGCACCCAAGAGTTACGCCGTCGGCGACGGCGGCGGCGGCAACAGCGACGACGAGGGCGAGCAGCGACGGCGGCGGCGACGACGACGACGGCAGTTGCGGCGAAGCGACGGCGGCGGCGGCGGCGACAGACCAGCGGCTCGGTATATCAGGGGACTTCGTCGGACAGAATCCTAATTGGCCACGCCCGAAAAGGCCCGGTACCTTTATCGATGACGTTTTCGGAGCCGACTAGAATTTGAGCGCGCGCATAGCGCGGGTGAAGTTCTAGTGCTCATATCGATGCGAAATTGCACGAGATTGTGCGCTCACAACACATTTACACATGTACAGACATTTCCACAAGCGCCAGGGCACACACCCTTTTCAATTGTTGACGCTTCGCGCCCCATCGGCCCATCCAGAAACGATGCCCAGAGGAACTGCCTCGATCAGGGAAGCGGGCAGCACACAGAGGAAGGGTCCCCCAGTGGAGGCTTCTTCGAGCGTTTTGGGTGCCTCTTGGCGGTCCCGGACGCCTCTTAGAGCGTCTTGGGTGCCTCGGACAGCTTCGTGGGGTTTCTTGGGGGTCTCTTGGGAGCCTCTGGGAGGCCTCTTGGGCACCTGTTGGGACCTGCTGGGGCCTCCTGGACGCCTCTTGGGGCCCTCTTGACGCGCTCTTGGAAGCCTTGGGAGCGCTCTTGGAGCCCTCTTGGGCCATCTTGGAGCCATCTTGAGGCCTCGGAAAAAAAGCCGAAAACATGGATTTCCCCAAGGTTTTGGAATGTTGGAATGATTTTGGCTTTTTGGGGGCCTCCTGGGGGAGCTCTTTGGCCACTTGGAGCCGTCTTGGAGCGGTCTTGGGGCCTCTTGGAGCATTGTGGGCGCCATCTTGAGGCATCTTAAGATATCTTGAGACATCTTGGAGATCATCTTTGGCTCTCCCATGCAGTCATCTGAAGCAGTGCCCCCCCCCCCCCAGGAGGCCAAAATGTAGCCAAAACCTTTGTAAAATCAGCGATTTGGGCATTGTCGCCGAGGCCTCTTGGAGCGTCTTGGGTGCCTCTGGGGGGCCTCTTGGGGCCTCTCGGAGGTCTTTTGGGAGCCTCTTGGGGGCATACTGAGGGCCTCCTGGGGGCCTCTTGGGGCTTCCTGGCCACCTCTTGGGGCCCTCTTGGGGCAGCCTTGGGAGCGCTCTTGGGGCCATCTCGGAGGAGATCGATCAAACAAGGTGGGGGTACGGATTCGAGCCCCCCCCCCTCAGAAGGCCAACATGGGGCCAAAACCTTAGTAAAATCAATGATGTTGGCTTCCTCGCCGAGGCCGTTTTGGACGCCCTGACGACTCGCGCCCCCCCCCTCCAGGTCCATGGGGAGGGGGGAGGGGGAAGGGTAAACCCCTCCCCGAAGGGGAAAAAGGAGGGGTGGAAGAGGAAACCCTCTAAACCACCGACGCCCAGAGGGCTGGTGGGATTACTTGTATAAACGTGCACGAAGATCAGGACACACCGATGCACACATCACATTGTACCATCGTGGCCGGCATACATATTGAGACATTGGTGTGCCGATATGTTCAGACATGCTAGTGTAGGTAATCGTCCACGGCGCGCACACATGCACCCAGATCTATGTTTACACGTGCGCGCGCATGGGGTCCCTTGATCCTCGTCAGGGCGGCGCGCGACGAGACCCCTGGTACTTCTGCGCGTACGAGGGATATCCGATGCAGCGACAGCAGGTGGCGAGAGAGAGATCGAGAACCTTTACTACATGTAGATGGGTGTATAAGTTTGCCATGTATAAAGAAACGCAGACAGAGAGAGTGATATCTCTCTATATATACAACAAGCATGCATGTGTGAAACGATCTCGATACACAGACACACGCACACACATAAAGAGAGAGAGAGAGAAGGAGAAACAAACATCGACAGAGAGAGCGGAGCCGAGCGAGAGAGAGTGAGTGAGCGAGCGAGCGAGCGAGAGTGAGTGAGCGAGTCCGCGGCTCGTGCCGTCGACTCCTCCGATTCGATTCGACTCGATTTCGATGGCTTCCGATTCCAATTCGATTCAGCTTCGGATTCCGATTTGAATTCCGATTTCACAGTGGAGGCCTACCAGCCTGCCGATTTCCACCGATTCGGCTTCTCCCGACTCGGCTGCCGATTTCTGCTGATCCGGTTAATGTCGATCGCCGATCCGACTTGTCGATTCGGTTCTAGGCCTAGGCCTTCAAACCTTCGAGATTGGACACAATCGTTGGGGTCCTGGCTTGTCGTGTCGGTGTATGTTGGAGTCTTGGGGACCACCTGTGGGGCGTGGTGGACAATCTTTTGGCCACCTGCGTTGCGCTGGAGCACATTGGGGCCATACTTGAGCCTCTTGGGAGGCTTTTTGGGGTTGTCTTGGAGCTTTGTTGGGCTATCTTAGGTGTTCTAGGCGACATGTCGCGGGTCCATGGGGCCGCCTGGGCATTATTTTTGATCACACGTGTGTTGCATTGGGGCGCCGTCGGGAATCCATCTTGGGGCATCTTGCAAGCAAGCCATCCTACAGGCCTACAGGTGAAGAACATTGTGTGTTCCATTACTTTGAGGCCTTCTCGGGGGCATCTTGGGCCCCTCTGGTCGGGTTCTTGAGGCCATTTTGGCCGGAGTCTAGGCATGTTGAGGCCATGTGGCGCCGTCTTGGTTTTCGGAGGCCCTCTTGGCAGCGTCGTGGAGGCCCTGAGCAGATTGCGAAGAGGAGAGCAGACTGGAGAGGCAGGTCGCAGCAGACGAGACACAGAAAACCAGAGACACTTGCAAGGCGGCAGTCCAGCACCACCTTAGTGGCCTAGCGCGCCCAGAGTAAGCTAGCAGGTACGCACATTCATTATACTTGTACAGTTTTGGTTGCCGAATTCTCATTTCTACGTGCGCTTGATCCCCGTGCTGGTGCCCATTGTGTTTTTTCCCCACCCATCCTGTGTTGACTTGGGCCCTCGTTTTGAAGAGACGGTGCCCCGCGTCCTCCTGCTCTTTCTCCTCCTCCTCCTCTTCCCTCCTCTCGTTCTCCTCTCCCTCCTCCCTCCACCCGTCACCCGTTTACGTTGGCACACCCCTCACACGTTTTGTGGCCCCACAGGGAGCTCCACCCAAGGCCCCGTTGGCTGCGCTCAAATGCCGCCCGCTGTCCACGTTGGCACACCCCTCGTACGCTTCGTGGCTCCATAGTGAGCTCCATCGAGGGCCCCAGTGGCTGCGTTCACATGCAGCCTCCTGTTCACTTTGGCACAACCCTCACGTTTCGTGGTCCCATACACCGTAGGCGATGCTTAAGAAAACCCAAGTTTTCG